TTTTTTTTTTTTTTTTTGGGCTGCTGATGAGATTTGAAGATGCAGAAAGAGACGCTGGTGTTAGGGGTGCTGATAGGAGCATACACCACTAGCACTCCCTGGGAGGCTCCATCTATTAGCGGGGACAGTGAGGTTTAAAGAATCTTGTCCTTGAGTCTATTATCTTGGTTCAAACTTTTGAATAAAAGGGTGACCCTTGTCTCATTACTAACCTCAATACCCCTATTTTTCCTCTTCTTTGTTCAAAAATTTTGAACAGAAGGGTCTGACTCATTTCATTTCTTACCCCAATACCCCCCTATATTTTTCCTTTCTTTGTTCCAAAGCTTCGAATGTAAGGGTCATCTATTTTACTTCATAGTAGTTCATACTTACCCAAATACCCCTCAATGACATGTCATTACTTAGTACTTACCCAAATACCCCTAAATGACGTCTCATTACTTGGTACTTACCCAAATACCGCTATTCCCAAGCATAGCAGCCACTGCCACCACGCAAGACTAACAGTGTCCGCAAAGTCGCCGCCAAATTCCACCATCAGGACCTGCATGACAATGGAAATATCGCAGAGTGAATTACATGTGTCTGTGTGGGGAACAAAAAAAAAAAGGAAAAAGAATTCTAATTTTCAAGAGTTCAAGGTATTGTAAGAACACTCGACTGGAGTGAGGTCCCACTAGCAAAGAGGACGGGACTTACTGCGTGAATCTGGACCTGTTTGTGGAGAGGTGCCGAAAGTGGCCACTGATCTGCTTGTGCGCATCTTGGCATTGAACACATCCAGATTCAGGCGCTTAATCAAATCCTCTTTGCTGAACGGACAGCACTTTTTTCTTTTCTCTTTTTTTTTCTTTGGTGAAAACTGCGGCTTTACTGTTCGTTGAAAAACGGGTTAAATTAGCGCCCCTGAACACAAGTTACCCAGGCTCCCGCACTTTCCCCCTTCATGGCCGATGAGACCTTAGAGCGTGGCGTCCATGGTTTCTTGTTTGGGAATGATTTGCTTCAGGCCTGCTAAACCACGACGCAAATTGCTCTCTACTGCTCAACAGACAGGTCCGAAGCTTTACCGTTGACTCGTTTACACACATAGTACACCATGACACATGGAATGGTATAGTCCTAAAACACTGTCACGACCAACGGGCCTAGCTCAGTTGGTACACCCATGAACTGTTGAAATATAGACCCAAGTTCGAATCCGGATGCAACCAGATGACTCAAAAATAAAACCATTCTGACCTGGGGCCGGTCCGTTCAGTGACGATGTCTCAAGGCCGCTGCCCTTTTCGAAAAAAAAACAGTGTCATGTAGAACAAATCTGACAAGCTCATTTAATGAGCAAAAAAAAAACCAAAAAAAAAAAAAAGAGCAATTAACCACACAGATGACTATCTGATATTCCTGAAGTTTCTTAGAAAACGTTGTTCCTGTTTTCTTTTTTTTTTCTTTTTTTTTTGGGACCATTTCTCGATTAATGTGTGTCGTCCTTGCGCAGGGGCCATGCTAATCGTCTCTGTATCGTTCCAATTTTAGAGCACCGGTACATGGCCCCAGCCAAGTTGAGAGTCTGATTGACCCTCTCCTAAAATTTAGGAGGCTCGAGCGCCATAGATAAAATAACCCGATGACGGGCGGCCTCCGAAAGGGCCCTGCGGCCTATGGCTGGCATGTCCCGGTGGCTTAACAGATGTCCCCAAGGACAGAAAATGCTGTTCTTTCGTCCTGTTTTTTTCTGAGAATTACAAGTCTGGAGTCTGTTCTACTGAGATTTGCTGTGATTTCTAAGTGTGTGTTCGACCGTGTGTTTGACTGTGTGTTGCATACCATCACGGCGCAGACCAGACCAAGAACCGATCTTTCTCGCCAGATACAAGATAGCACAGCGGAAGGCTCAAATACCACTGATCCGATCAATCAAGCTGCCATGCAGACCAAACATACACCATCATCATTTCATGGTGTGAAGGGGCTGACGCTCACACAGGAAGAATGTGTCAGTCCCCTGATCATGCACAGACGAAGAAGAGGGGGATTAGACGAGGGAGAGGGGGAAGATGGAAATGTCGTCAACACTGAGTCTTCGATACAGTCCCAAATAATCCCTCGCCAAAGGTCTGAATCCCGATGCTGAGTCTGAACCCAAATGTCGTCAAATCCCAATGTCGCCCATCTCTCTCTCTCTCTCTCTCTCTCTCTCTCTCTCTCTCTCTCTCTCTCTCTCTCTCTCT